TCAATCCAATATTTCTTAGCAAATATATATGAATTCAATATGAATCTCATTCACATATTTATCTCATGAATATATATCAAATTTCATACCAATCTTAATTTATTATTGTTCCCACAATAATAACCGATTAGGGATATTTAGAATAATTAAAAATATTATTCTAAGATGATAATAATAAAAAAATACACAATAACAACAACAACAACAACAAAAATAATAATAATAAACCAATAATCAAAATATCATATCCACACAATATGCCTATGGCGCTAATGCTAACATACCATATGCAAAAGCGTCAAGAGCATTTCACAAGAAGATATGTGCAACTATAAAGAAGCTTATTAGATAACTCCGCAAGCTATCAAAATAAATGCTTAAACATGTAAATTCATGGATAAATGTTAAGTTATTCCCTACATAACAATAATCCCAACAGTTTTCATGGAGAAGTGTAGAGAAACCCTTGTAGGGAACATATATGAGTTTTAACTAGAACTGCCCAAACTACGAAACTGCAATTGAGTGTTGATCTACTAAAAATTTACATATACTGTACCAAAGAAAAGCTCTGCTCAAATTAATTAAAACATCCCAAAAAATGTCAGAAACCCTCCTTCAGGAGTATGCACAAAATATAAAATGAACTTCCCCTAAATCCATTCAACACCCCGACAACATAAAGAAGTTATTTGCACAGAATAAACATCAACCTAAATATATTTCCTTTGTATCCTACAATCCGCAAGATACATATACAAAAACACAAGACATAGTGCATTTAACACATCACCAACTTAAACCTCTGAGCCATTCAAGAAGCAATAATTGTGACATTTTCTAGAAATGGTCTATTAAAGCTTTGTAATACTTCAACGACTAATGTTGCGTGTTATGGGTACTAATAAATTATAACCAAATGGTGTGCAAGTATACACAATCGCAATAAGTAATATAATGATAAGTGAGTATCGTCCTATGTGATTTTCAAAAATTTTGAGTTTGACCACAGGACCACACTAATTTATCTAAGTATAGAAATGATATATACATTGATGATGATTTGACAATAGAGATGTGAGGGTGAATGGAATGATGGTAAAGGAATGTGATTGTGTCGTGGCAAGAGAATAGTTAATAATGGGAAATGATGAAAATGACAAGGTAATATAAAAAGGTAAAAATAGAAAATAAATGGAATAGCTTGATAATCCTCACACGGGAAACTACTTCGGGAATGAATGATGGGGAGCCACTTGAGGAGATGAAAACTTATCTTTCTAGCCGATCTAGTCTTCTAATGTTTTACTTATTTAACGAAGTTTGCTAAAAGTGTTCTCGCTATCTCTAGTCTAAGAACCTAATAGAATAAAATGCCATGGCATCCCCTCTCAGTCCCAACTATGGCAACCTACATTATTGAAAACGCACTACCCCTCTTAGTCATTGAAATCCTAGCTTAATCTCTCTCAAGTACTAAGAGATCAGACTATAGTGATTAATTATACCCCATTGCTTATGTTAATCATACTTAAGTTTCTCTTGAATACTTAAGAATTAGTGACTAGATTTCTCATGAACATCTAGTCTTCATCTATGAAATGGACACTCTAATACCTCCTACAATCTTAGAAGATGAAGAACACATAAATAAAAAAGTAAAAACAAAAGATAAACATTCATAAACCATTAAAATAAAGTTTCAAGCATTTATTGAATGAACCCCACCAAATATAGCTTAGATCATGGTGGGGTTTGATAGCGTGTAAATGTGTTTGTCGTGACACGTAAATCTGTGCAAGTATACACAATCTATGCAAGTAATATAGTAGTGAGTAAATTATCATCTCCACATATTTTGGTGGGAATTTTTTATGTTTGCTATAGCTAGAACTAAGTGTCACTAATTAGCCCTAAAATTCTTATCTAAAGAGAAAAGCAAGCAGTATCAAATGATATAAACATATGGAAAAGTATTGTCGTGGCGAGAAAAATTATAAAGTGAAGTAGGTAGAAAAGTTTTTTTCGAGGCAATAAGGATATGAAAAGGTAAACAAATAAAAGTTATCAAAGAAAATAAAAATGTTGAGTTTAATATAATATAAAAAACCTCACACAATCAGACTTCTAAAGGAGCACTTGAGTTGGATTTGCTATGGCTAGACATTATTCTATGTCTAGGATGATTTAGTATACTATGCCTATGCTGCCCGACAGGGTTTACTAGAGTATTCCTAGAACTTTTGCTACGACAATACTACTCAGCGTGAACTATAACCCTTGGTTTGTCAAATTGTTGCGGTGGCAATACCCCTTAGCGTAAACTGTAGCTTTTAGCCTATCTTACTTGAGTGTTTACCCATTTTAGTCGAATTAAACCCTCTTCTTTTCTCTAAAATAGATTAAAAGCTCACCATCCCATATTAGTTCCCTTTTTCACGTAGATCTAACCTAACTCTCTCGATTTTAGGCATCAACTCCTAGAAAAATGGCAATCTCTCAAAAGCTCTTACAGAGACTAGGAATGTTTTATGGAGGCACCAGACAATCTCTTGAAAGCTCTTACAGCGTCAAGACAAAAGATTAAAACCTTGAAAAAAACAACACTTAGCACAAACAAACTCCATCATTCATTAACAAGCGAGTAAAGTCACCCAACACCAAATAAAATAGTTTCCGGTGTGGAAAATATCATGCCAAAAATTAATCTTTAAGTACAAGCCCTTAATTGATACAGAAATAAAGAACAAAAGGAAGAAAGACTCCCAAAACAGAGCTCTTTTGTGACATTTGGACTACCACCATGACTATTTCGGCGACCAACCTCTTTTAAGGGTCTGGCTGCCGCTCCAATAAATCCCGACTATGGAGGGCACCAAGGATGGTCAAGAGGGGATGGTAGAAAAAGTGAACTATTGTAGTCGCTTACTCCTAGCCTCCCTTTTGGGTATATTTTTCTCTTCAAAGCCACTCGTTTATGAAGAGCTATAATGAGATATTTATAGTGGGAATTTCTAGGGTTTAGTGCCCTTGGAAATTCCCTAAATACCTTTGATGCCATACCCATTTTGTGAATAATAGTTTCTGGTGTGGAAAATATCATGCTAGCAAATTAATTTATCTCGGTAAATGAATTATTCCTTAGTCATTTTTTGCATCATCACAACCAACAAATAACCTTTCTCTTTAGTAGCACCAAATTAATCAAATAATATTTGCCTTGGCAAAACATATCCACCACATACAAATATGTCCTAAATGCAACTAAAATGCTAAATTAATGGCTTTTAGTCACTCAATAGCTTAAGTAAAAAGATACAAAACACAATAATTTTTTGGAGTTATCGCTCCCCCAAACTTAAGTTATTTATTGTCCTCAAGCAATGGATAATAAACAGTAGAAAATAAAGTGTCATGGGAAAATATAAATTAGGACAATTAGGTGGTTTAAAATTTCAGCCCCCAGTAATAAGTTTGGCCTCAACATGCTAGATTGAATAAGAAGTTAAGTACCCTTCCGTAGGTAAGTACTATTTGACAATGTCTGTACGTGATTGTATCTAGTCTATGCTTAATGAAATTAGAAAACTCCTAAGTAAGTTCTTCTGTTTTGACAAAACATCAAATTATTCTTTAAGCACAGTTTCACTCCTATTTATATAACATGGAACTTGAAATATTTTTTAGCACTGCTTCGATAGGAGTTAGTTCATCACACTTACTGTCCCACACTCTAGGTAAAAGGAAGCATTCCTTCCACCCCAAGCTAGTCAAGTAGAGTCATACCGTGGCTACTTTCATTCACTCATGTGTCAAGGCTACCATTTATTTAAGAGGGTTTCCAGGTAATACCGTCGTACAAATGAGTGTTCCTCTACAGTTAAACCTAGACATTTATTTGTAATTCAACACAATTCAAAACACTAAGGAGTTCAACTTCATATTTTCAATCATTTAATGCCATAAAATGCAAAAAATTCTCTCTTAAAATTTTTTTATGTACCTTAACCAAAGCAAACATAAAATCGTCTTAACAGGATCATAAAGAATCAAGTCCTAAGGTCAGTTCTATCATTCAGCAGTCATGTAAAATAATTTTGGCCTAGAAAATAAAATTATTCTTTCATCATCGGGTATCCTAAACTTATTCCAAACAACTATCCTAACCTAACTCATGCCATGACAAATATTATTTCTTCCAATCATTATCGATGCAAATTAACTAAGTATAAAGCACAACATATCCCCCAAACTTGAGGGATGCATTATCTTCAATGCATGAAAAAGGAAAAATAATTACACTAAAATGTGATGCAAATGCAAATGGAAAGTGGTACCTTATCGTGGTAGGGTAGTTCTACTGGATGCTCAAGTTTGGCGTCTTTTGAGAGGAGAAGGGCTGGAAGATCCTGTTTTTTCTTATGGAAGTGATGATGGTGATGGTATAGCAATATGACCAGCTGAGCGCTTGAGGCGATGCCGTGTCCTGGGAGGACAGTCTTATGGTGGTATCTCCTTGGTTGGGGAGGTCTCAGTAGGTACGCGTAAGGGCAGGCTAGCGGTTTCAACAATTGATTCATTTTTCAAACCTTGTGGTTGTATAGAGGCTTATTCAATGGTTGGTTGTTCATAAACTAGTTCAGCAGAAATTGTGGCCAAGACAACATCTTCGTCTTCAAAAAATTCTGGCAGAATTTTCTACGTGTGCTCTTAGGAGGAAGAGGTCGAGCTGAGTGTCTAGACTTGACCTTCTTCATGAATTGGAGAGACATGTATGGCAAGAGGGGTGCATCATTTGGGGAATTGAGCTGAACTTTTTACGTAAAGGTAAAAAATGTGCTACCGCCTTTGGGTACTGACTTGTGTAATATATCCGCAGGAAATGATGATAGGTCTTCATTGGTAACTGGTAACAGTTCCTTGAAGAAGGCATTCAGTTGTGCATCTCTTGCCTTGACATAATTAAAGAAGGTCTGCATGTTACCTTCCAAGCATTCTAGTCACTCACTTGTTTCGAGTGTAGTGGTGATCACTGCCGCCATTCTTGCCGTGACAACATATTTTGCACCCCGTTCTAATCCCTTGTCTTGGGTATTTTCATCAAAACTCATAAGCTCAGGCGTCCTTGGATTTGATAAACTCCTCCAAAGGCTCTTTAGGGATCTTTTTCTTCCTACAAAGAGCAGTAATTAGATTTAGAAAAAGTAAGTTACCTTTCGCCCGTTTGGCGCACTCATGAACTTGCTCGAAGATGATTTCCCCCACATCAATCGATTGCTCGTATATGATGGAATGGAGAAGGATTAATTTCTGTAGCAACATTTATTGTGTTGTGATACATGGGCATCAACTTTCTATTGAAGAAGTGGTTCCACAACTTCATGACCGGCTTGAGGGCATGGTGACCTACACGTTTCTGGTTAGGGGCATTCTCTTCAAAGTTTTCCTAGCAAAAGCATAAGCCTTCTAACACACCATCATACATTTCAGAGTCAGATTCGAAAAGGAATTTTTTATAGTGGTTCTCAACTTCGTCGAGTTTAAAATAGCGATTGATGGTAAAGGGAGTGAACTGGATGAACTTCCCTCGAACATAAATAGAATGCTGGGAAGGGTTTCCCAAATGCGGATAGAACTCCCAGACCAGCACTGGTGCCACCCAAATAGTTTATTAGGGTTTTGCTTCCCTCCATGTATAAAGTTTAGCCCTATGCTGCTACGTGTACAAAGACCAAAAGAGACAATATTAGAAAATAAAAATAAAAATAAAACACACGTTCATAATAAGCTAAAGAAAAATTATTTATGTACAAAATGCAAATTATGTTTCCTAGGCAATAAAATTTGTTCAGAAGAGATGAGAAAACTCTTGGGCATCATGGATTAGTGATGCCGATTTATCTCGCAGGATTGGTGCTCCATTGTATTCCTTTAGTCTTTGACCATTCACCTTAAAAGTTGTCTCATCATCCAAGTTTGTGATTTCAATTGCGTAGTGGCTATGCACTTTATGTACTATGAAAGGTCCTGACCACCTGGACTTCAGCTTGCCTGGAAATAACTTGAGCCTTGAATTATAGAGTAGTACTTGTTGGCCCAGAAAAAATTACCGAGGAAAAATTTTTCTGTCGTGCAAGTTCTTCGTCTTTTCTTTGTAAGGATGTGTATTCTCGTACGTTTGAGCTCTAAATTCTTCCATCTTATTTAGCTCCAACAATTTCCTTTCTCTAGCAAGTTGTGCATCCATATTAAGTTTCCTAATGGCCTAGAATACCTTATGTTCTAGTTCCACAGGCAAGTGACATGGCTTTCCATAGACTAACTTGAATGGAGACATCCCAAGTGGCATTTTAAATGTCGTACGATGCGCCAACAGTGCCTTATTGAGCTTTGGCGACCAATCTTTCCGTTTTGGGTTGACCACCTTCTCAAGTATCTCCTTGATCTCTCAGTTGGAAACCTCAGTCTGCCCATTTTTCTGGGGATGGTATGCTGTGCCAATTTTATGGCTCACCCCGTATATTTACAACACCTTGGAAATTAATTTATTGTCAAAGTGAGTGCCTTCATCACTGATAATTGCTCGTGCTACTCCGAAACACATAAATATATTTTTGTGTAAGAACTTCAACATGGTCTTGGAGTCATTTTGAGTTATTACCATTGCCTCGACCCATTTGGATACATAGTCCATAACAAAAAAATATGTACTGATTACCAAAGGACGATGGGAAGGGTCCCATAAAATCAATTCCCCATAAATCGAAGAGTTCAACCTCCAAAATATTTTGCCATGGCATCTCATTTCTCTTCGATATATTCCCATTGTGTTGGCAATGGTCACATGACTTATAGAAGTCGTGCGTATCCTTGAATAAGGTAGGCCAATAAAGCTAGATTGGAGGACCTTTGCAGTAGTCCATATTCCACCAAAGTGCCCTCCACACGAGGATTTATTGCAATGAAAAAGAACCTCATTATGTTCTTCTTCGGGGATACACCTCTATATTATTTGGTCCCCATATTATTTGAATAAGAATGGTTCATCCCAATAATAGTGTCGTACATCATGTCTGAACTTTTTTCAGCCCTGGCTAGATAAATCTGGAGATATAATACCACTAACAAGAAAGTTAACTATGTCAGCGTACCATGACACTGTCGTGACAAATAAAATTTTCATATCAGGAAAATCCTCCTGTCCTTCACCTCTAGATCAAATTCTTGCAACAAGAGTATCCATCTAATAAGCCTAGGCTTTGCATCCTTTTTATTTACTAGGTACTTAATGGCAGAGTGATCAGTATGTACAAATACCTTTGGTCCTATAAGGTATGCCCTAAACTTATCAAAAGTGAATACTACGACAAAAAATTCTTTTTTCAGTGGTGGTATAATTAAGTTGTGCATCATTAAGGGTATAACTAGCATAGTATATGACATGGAAGATTTTACCTTTTTTTTCCATAGCACTGCCCCTACTACATAGTCACTTGCATCGCACATCAACTCGAATGGGGAGTCCCAGTCAGGTAGAACAACAATTGGTGCCAAATAAGTTTTTTCTTTAGATTAGTGAATGCATTGAGGTAGTCTTTATTGAACAGGAACGATTGCTTTTGTTGAAGGAAAAGACACAAAGGCTTTGAAATCTTTGCAAAATCCCTGATGAAACACCTACAGAATCCAGCATGCTTTAGGAAACTTCTTATTCCTTTCACAGTGGTGGGCGGAGGCAGATTCTCAATTACTTCTACCTTGACTTCATCAACCTCAATGCCTTGGCGAGAAATTTTGTGTCCCAACATAATTCCTTATGTCACCATAAAGTGCCATTTTTCCCAGTTTAGCACAAGTTTGGACTCCTCACATCGCTTCAGCACTTTAGATAAATTACCAAGGCATCGGTCAAAGTGATCACCTGAGATAGAAAAATCATTCATAAATATTTCCAAGAAGCCCTTCACCATGTCCGAGAAAATGGCTACCATGCACCTCTGAAAAGTTATCTAGCCATTGTATAGTCCAAACAACATCCTCCTAAGGGCATAGGTGTTATATGGACAGGTAAAAGTGGTCTATTCCTGATCCTCATGTGTTATGGCGATCTGATTATACCCAGAATATCCGTAAAGGAAACAGTAAAATGCCTTGCCAGCTAACCGATCAAGCATTTGATCGATGAAATGAAGGGGGAAGTGGTCTTTCTTTGTCGCCATATTGAGCTTTATATAATCCATACAAATCCACCAGCTGTGATGGTTCGTTAGTCAAAAGCTCGTCATTCTCTTTCTTTATGACTGTCACGCCACCCTCCTTTAGTACCATTGAACTGGACTGACCCAAGTTTCAGATATGGGATATATCACCCCAGCATCGAGCCACTTGATAATTTCCTTTATCATTAATTTTTTATTATTAGACTAAGTCTCTTTTAGGTTTCCACGGAATTTTTATGACAATCATCTAGATGGATATTGTGCATGCATATGGTAGGGATGATTCCCTTCACGTCTGTCATAGTCCACACGAGATCTTTTTTATGCTGTGACAAAACATTCAACAAACTACTATCTTACTAGGGGGTTAGACAAGAAGAAATTATAACTGGAAAATATCATCACTACCTAGATAAGCATATTTCAAATGTGATGGCAAAAGTTTAAGCTCTAAGGTAAGTGCATACTGTAGCGAAGGTCTTGGAGGAATAAATTCATTTAAATCAAGGGGTTCGAATCTCATACCTGGTCTAGCTTGAAGTAATCTAGATTGTTCCACATCCAATGAATAATCCTCGGACTGTGCATTATTCTATCTTTAGTGAATCCTTAAAATGCCTCAATCAGAAATTTTTTGCATTGGCAAATATTTTTGCCTACCTCATTCTGAAACTATTTTCCTGGGCCAAAATTATTATATCCCTCTGGCTGTAAAATATCGTCGTGGAAAAAATGTTCACACTCCTTTATCTGAAAATATTATCTGTGCATAGAGTATCATATTTGTCTAGATGTAAAAATTTACCTTTGCCAAAATTTTCTATTCCATCTTCTTCAACTGAATCAATGACTTCAATGTAATGGCATTCTTTAGAATCATCAACATATTTAAGAGTTTTGAAGAAATTGATTATGATGCTTTGATCAGCTACCCTCATCGTGAATTCTCCCTTCTTGCAATATATTAGGATGCATCCAGTGGCTAAGAAGGTACGTGAGAATAATATGTGCATTTTCTTCTGCCTCACAGTCTAGAATGAGGAAATATGCTAGAAATATAAATTTTTCCACTTTCACGATGACATCTTCAATTCTGCCCTTGAGACAAACATGTGATTAGCCAGATAGTTTCAAAATTACATTGGTTGGTTGATCATTACCCATTCCAAGCTTCAAAGATATGTACTTGGGCATCAAATTTATATTTGATCCCAAATTAAAGAGGGCTCTCCCAACATATTTGTCACCAATGGAACATGGTATAACAAAGGTGTCGGGATGTTTTTCCTTTGGCAGAAGTTTATATAGTGTAGAACAATATTCCTTCGTCGTGGCAACTATTTTAAGTCTTTCCACCTTTCTCTTTTTCGTGACAAACTCCTTCAACAGTTTGGCGTAGGAAAGCATCTGATCAATAGTTTCGAGCAGTGGAACATTGATATACAACTTATCAAGGACATCAACAAACTTTTTGAACAAAGGTGGTGGGGTCCTGATTTCATCTGCTGTAGGTGGGGGTAAAACTTTTAACTTGGCAATAAATTTTCCACCATCATTGGGTTAACTTGTTGACCACTCATCCGTTTCCTTCTAATCAAATAAATCTTCTTGTTCATCATGTTTGCCTTGACCTTTTGGTTCTTCCTGTGTAGTGCCTTGGCGAGAAATTTCTTGCTTCTTTCCCCCAAACTTATCATCGAGATTAATTTGGGTACCACTCCTAAGTGTAAGCGTACTACATTGCTCATTTCCATGAGTCTTAGTGACCTCAGTATCACTAGGGAGACTTCCTTGCGGGCGAGAATATATTGCCATGGCAATTTTGACTGCTTGATTCTCCAACGCTCTCAATGATGAACTATGGCTTTGTATTAAAGCACCTTGATTCTTGATTGTCGATGAATGTTCATATATCAAGGTCTTTGTTGAAGCCATAAAATCTTTTTTCGAAGCCATAAATTCTTACAATGAAGCTTCGAGAGAGTTAGAATTTGAGGAAGATTGATTACCTTTATTGTTATTTTGCCAGGCATTTATTGATGCTGAAAACTTGAAAGTTCATAAACATTTTACTCTGGCCTATGAAATTTTCCTGCATAGTTGTTGTTGTTCCCCTGATTACCCCAAGAAAAATTTGGATGTTGTCGCCATCCAGGATTGTATGTATTAGAGTAGGGGTTATTGTTACTTCTATTAAAATTACACATAAAATTATTGGACTCCTGGTTTTTTGGGCATTCACTCTCATGATGGTTGCCATGGCAAAGAATGCATGCTAAATTAGTTTCCTTGACTTCTTTCACCTCATTGGAATGCTTCAAAATTTTCAACATATTAGTTATAGAAGAAAGTTGGGCAGAAAATGAATCCTTACTGTGAAGTTCATACGCCCTAGATATTTTCTTGCCGATTCCAAGCTTGTAGACGGGAATTGATAGCATTGTTGCTATTCAATCAAGGATATCAAAGGCTTCCTCGAGTGATTTGTCAAGCAAAGTACCAATCGCCGAAGCATCCAGCATCATACGAGTAGGTGCGTTGACTCCATTATAGAACATGACGACTTGAGTCCAGTCGTAGAATCCATGGTTGGTGCATTTATGAAGCAAACTTTTATATTTGTCCCAGCACTCATACATAGATTCATCATCGCCTTGGTGAAAACATGAATTGTCATTGCGGAGCTGAGTGTGCCACTCAACCAAGCTCTTGCTCGTTCACGTAAAGAGTAGGGGAATAATTTTAGCTTCAGCATGTCCTCGAGCACTCCTTGTTGCCTAAACGAGTCACACACTTCAAGGAAAGCACGTATATACTATCTAGCATCATCATTAGGCAAACCTCCAAATTGACCGATAGAATTAAGCATGTTGAACATCACCAGTTTGAGTACAAAGTGGGTTGCATGTATTTCTGATGTCACAATTCCAGGGTTGAGATCATCGAGAATTGGATTTAAGTGATTTTGTATCGTTCATGGTCTTGTAGCATTTTTAGGAATATTATTTTCCACGACATCGGGATCTGTTTGATCTTCAATAGGGTTATCAGCCTGAAACTGCAGTCGATGTATATAGCCTTTGGTACGCTGAGCACGTTACCTTTGTTTGAATAGCTACTCGATCTCAGGGTCGAATGGTATTAATGGTTAATCAGCATATCTTCTGGTCATGTAACGAAAAAACCTACAAAAGAAAATAAGAAAGGGAACAAGTAAAAATAAAAAAAATGTGACAAAAAAAGTTGATATGGCAAAAATTATCAAAATTCATCCAGTTGCCAATCCCTGTCAACGGTGTCAAAAATTTGAATCTCTGTAAATGTGTGTGTTGTGTCATGTAAAACTGTGCAAGTATAAACAATCGATGCAAGTAATATAGTAGTGAGTGAGTTATCGTCTCCATAGGGATTGGTGGAAATTTTTTATGTTTGCTACAACTAGAACTAAGTGTCACTAATTATCCCTAAAATTCTTGTCTAAAGAGAAAAGTAAGAAGTATCAAATGATATGAATAGATGGAAAAGTATTTTTGAGGGGAGAAAAATTATAAAGTGAAGTGAACAGAAAATTTGGATGAGGCAATAAAGATATGCAAACGTAAACAGATAAAAGTTGTCAAAGCAAATAAAAATGTTGAGTTTAATATAATATGAAAAACCTCACACAATCACACTTCTAACGGAGCACTTGGGTTAGATTTGCTATGGCGAGAAATTATTATATGTCTAGGATGATTTAGTATGCTATGCCTATGTTGCCAGACGAGATTTACTAGAGTGTTCCTAGAACTTTTGCTTATGGCAATACTACTCAGCGTGAACTATAACCCTTGGTTTGTCAAACTATTGTAGTGGCAATACCCCTCAGCATAAATTGTATCTTTTAGTCTGTCTTACTTGAGCGTTTACCCTTTTTAGTCAAGTGAAAGCCTCTCCTTATCTCTAATGCAGATTATAACCTCACCATCCCAAATTAGTTCCCTTATTCACGTAGATCGAACCTAACTATCTCAATATTATGCATTAACTCCTAGAAAAATGGTAATCTCTCAAAAGCTCTTGCAGAGACTAGGAATGTTTTGCAGAGGAACCAGGCAATCTTTCGAAAGCTCTTACAGCATCAATCCAAAAGATTAAAACCATGAACAAAACAACACTTAGCATAAACAAACTTTATCATTCATTAACAAGCAAGTAAAATATCATCCAAGCATAATCCAACACCAAATACAACAGTTTCTGGTGTGGTAAATATCATCCCAAAAATTAATCTTTAAGTACAAGCCCTTAATTGATATGAAAATAAAGAACAAAAGAAAGAAATAATCCCCAAAAAGAGCTCTATTATAACATTTGGACCACCACCATGACTACTCCAACGACCAGCCCATCTCGAGAGTCTGGCCACCAATCAAGTGAAGCCCGACTATGGAGGGCTCCAAGGACGATTGAGTGGGGAATGTAGAAAAAGTGAACTGTTGCAGCCCCTTACTCGAAGCCTCCTTTTCAATTATATTATTCTCTCCAAAGTCACTCCTTTATGAAGAGGTATAATGGGATATTTATAGTGGGAATTTTTAGAGTTTAATGCCCTTGAAAATTCCCTAAATACCCTTGATGTCATACCTTTTCTATTAACAATATAGTAGCTGGCAGTGGTCTTAAATTCCTTGATGAGGGCATGATTGCACGTGAGGTAGATTGGATAGATGACCAAGTGACATCAGTAGTTTCTTCTTGTGTTGCGTTAGACTTGTAAGAATAAACTCGCCTTAATAAGAAAAATTGTTCCTCACTGTCGTCTTCATATGTTCCACTGGCCATAGCAAATTAATTTGTCTCGACAAATGAATTCTTCCTTATTCATTTCTGCATCATCACAATCAACAAACTACATTTCTCCTCAGCAACACTAGATTAATCAAATAAACTTTGCCTTGGCAAAACTTATCCACCACATGCAAATATGTTCTAAATGCAACTAAATACAACTAAAATGCTAAATCAATGGCTTTTAGACACTCACTAACTTAAGTAAAAATACACAAAACACATTTTTTATAGTGTTATCAGGGTTCGAACAAACCATGGAGTATACTCAATCGTCCATTTGACTTAACAACCCAAATAAAAGTTTGAAGCTTTAAAAATAGAGAAAATGTTGGAGAAGAAAACACTAGGTGTGCACGATCGACACGAACGATTATAGTTCGAGCTCCTCTCTGATGTTATGCCACTCTGTCGAGCTTTATCAATAGAGAACATCAATAAAAATAGAGAAAGAAGAAAAGAAGAGCTGATGCGCGTTAATGGAGATAGAGAAAATGGAGAAGATGATGATTTTCCAAGATTGTGTCTCTCTCTTCTAAGGTGTCCTTATAAATAAAATATCTAAGGGTATTCTTGGGAAATTTTGCACTCAAAATACCCATAATACCTCCAAATTCATTCCTTGTACTGAAGTTTATCTCCATATGTGGCAGTGGACCTCATTTAGAAGTTTACCAGCAGCAGAAACGTGCTTTGACAGTTGTCCTCTTGTGAAAATATCTCTTTGTCTTTTCTGCGCCAGAAATACCAAAGTGTTACAGTCTTCTTCAGTAACATGTGATGTTGTGACACTCTTCTCAGCTTGCCCTATGCTCATTGTTTCTTGCACATCACTAACCACACATTTCCCATCATATAACACCTTAACAAAGGAAAAATAACACAACCACCACAAATGCAACTACATGGATCTAAAATGACCTATATGAACCCTTAGACAAACAATAACATAAGTGAAAAAGGCCTTAAAAGTAGCCTTTTTATGGAGTTATCACACCCCAAACTTAAGCTATTGTTTGTTCTCAAGCAATGGATAGTAACACATTCAAATTGTCATGGAAACTTTCAACAATAAGACAAAATTCAATTTCAACCCTCATAAAAATTGGCTTCAACATGATAGACATATCAAGAAATCGAGTATTTTTCCCTTGGTCAAGATTCTTTGTGATTGTGTATGTGCGTGATTGTATATAATCTATATTTAATGAATCTAGGCATTTTCTAATTGAGTTCCCTAGTTTTGCCACGACATTTACTCTTTCATTAAGCACATTTATACTCTCTTTTTACTTAATACATATTTTTTCTATTTTTTACGCTACTACGAAAAGAATCAGCCCATCACAATTATGGTCTACACTTGCCATGGCTTCCATTTATTAAAGAGAGTTCCAGGCAATGCCACGACAAAGAGGAGTGTCCCTATACAGCTATGCCGAAACATTTATTCATGATTAAACAAAATTCATACATAAGGGAGTTCTTTAAACATTGATAATCATTTAAACACAATAATAAATTTTTAATGCCAAGGCTAACCCGAGTTCTTTCATAAAAGCTTCCTAAATTCCTTAAGTATAGAGAACATACAAATCATGTAAGAATAATTCACAAAGCATCAAGTCCTAGAGTCAATTCTATCATTCTCAACAGTCATTTACATTCAATTTCTAGCCTAAAAAAATTCATCATCACATGTATCATCAAAACATTTCATCTAACTGTCTTACCAATAACTGATGCCATGGCATAATGTTAACCCAATACTATCATGCACATGTTCTACAAAGAACACTATTTCCCTTAAACTTGAGAGAAGCATTGTCGTCATTGCTTAAAATAACTAAGTAAATAATGAAACTAAATGCAATTTCATGCTATGTAAAAATGAAAACAAAAGGAGGTACCTCGATTTCTATAGTGGTGGCGGTGTTGCAGTGGAGGTGCTTACAGTTCCACGCCTGGTGCACTTACGTAGTGAAGTGGGGCTGGATTCCAGATATATTGAGTAATATGAGGTAATAGAGGTGTTGATGCTCCCCGCTAAAGACTTGATACGACGGCTAGTTCTACGCGTTGAATGAGGCTCTGATGTTACATCTTGGTTGGGGGCTGCACGAGAT